TATATATATAGCATTTTAGAGTCAAACCTGTTTGTTCCTAGAATTTATTTTGTACCAAAAGGCACATTTTAATTAAACTTTTGTGAAGTTCTTAAATGATACACATCTCAACCTAATAAACCTTTGGAGACCATTTTAGAAGATATTTGAATGCTACATTTTAGCTAAAAAAAACTAACTAAGAATGATAAAATCTCTTCAGATTAAAGTTTATTTTTTACAGATTGTATCGGTAATGCATACAAAGTTGTGTCTTTTTTCTGCGTTTGCACAATCTGTCTCAGAAGTTACATATTTTAATCATAAAACGACCTGGCGGTAACAGTGCTGCTCTCTGCAGATGGTAAATCTGGAAACTTTAAAGCAGCCATAAAATAAAAGCCAAACATTAAAGTGAAAGCAGTGATAAAAAAAAAAAAAAAAACAATCCATTTGGCAACAATAAACAACACCCTGCTGTTCCAGGGCGTCTCGGTCTGGCGCTCTCTACAGGTCACAGGCGGTCTGCATGTGAGCAACAGTTGCCATGAATTTCTCAGAAACACRTTACACAAACTGTCCCAGGCAGAACTGAACCATGACCTCATACCTAAAAGCAGAACTTTAATCAGCAAAAAACCAAAATAATCCTAATTTCTACAACGGTTCTTTGACATGTCAAATCGTCAAAGTCTTTAAAAACACTTTATTTCTCAGCTAAGCCTGTTTGGAGGACAGGTTGCTAAGGTAAATCATCTGCGATTGCCTGGAATTTAAATGAAAGGAACAACGGGAGGGGGAGGGCACTTCTCAGAGCAGGAATCCTAAAAGAAAAAAAAAAAAAAGCTTCCTGACAATCTGCCAAGAGAGGCTTTACTGGAAGGAGGCGGGGACTCTTGACAGCACATAAAAGCTACATCTGTGCTTCCAGCCTCGCTCACAACTGAACTCTTCAGTCCAACATAAGGGATGTTAGAAGCCGAACTCCCAACTTTATTAAAACATAACAACAGAAAACTTGTAACAGATCCAGAGGACGCAGCACATCTGTGAAGAGCTGATGATTTGGATTTAAACTGAAAGTTTGGAGAGCCACTGAAGGTGAGAATCTGTCTTTGTTCAGTGTTTATCATTATCAGAAGTTGATTTTTAATTAGGGTTAGGTCTTSAGAGTTTAGCTGACTGAGGTAACTGTTTAGAGAAAAAAAAATGTGGCATGTAAACTGCGCAGCAAGCATTAGATGACTTTACTGGAATTGACCACAGTCAAGTCACTTCTTTCCTGAGGGCTGATTACACAAAAAAAAGTTTCCCCAACGTGATGACAAATCAGATAGCGGACTCCTTTTTTTTCTTTTTTTCTTTACCCAGTTGAAATCAAATCTATTTATCTGARCGATTAAAGTTTAAATCTAACTTCTATTTTCTAATTTCAGGTTTTTCTATCCGCCTGAGGATCTCACCGGTTCAGACGAGCGTCGGAGCCTGTCCAAGCTGCGGGTGAAGAGGGCTATGGTTACATACAGTAAAGCTGACTCTGCGATGGGCCACCTCTGTGTCCCGAAGATGCACGTTCCGTACCATTACAAGCTTTTCACCTCCAAAGAGCAGCACAAGATGGTCGTCAGGTCTCTTTACCGGCTGAAGGAAAGCGGCTTCTACTACAGCTCCATTAACGGGAAGCAGGCCAACGCTCTGCTGGAGAACGAGTCCACCGGCACCTTCCTCATCCGGGACAGCGCCGACATCCACTACTTCTACACCGTCAGCGTCAAGACGGCGCTGGGGGTCCGGAACCTGCGCGTCCAGGTCGACGACGCCTCTTTTTACATGAGCACCGACCCTAAGAAAGTCGACTGCGTCCCCCACTTTGACTGCATCCTGAAGCTGATCAAGCACTACATGCCTCAGGGCGTCGGAGCCAAAGCCACCTACATCTACTCCAAAGGGGAGACCACTCCTCTGGAGCTCGTCAGACCTCTTTACCACACCACGGCCTCGCTGCAGCACCTGTGCAGGAAACAGATCAACAGAGACGTGAGCGCCCCTTCTGAGCAAGGCCAGCTTCCTAGTTCTCTGCARCAGTACCTCTTTGAGTACAATGAAAGTTTCTAGAGCCGTTGGACTGAGAAAGGCTCAAAGGTGGACTGAAACCAGACGGTACCCACAGGAGGACCTCGCTGCTTACCAGGAGCACTGACGCAGCCGAGTAGATCCAGTCGAGCCTCGCGTTGAGCTCGTTCAAAAAAAGAAGCAGATCAAGAAAAGACGGTGGGCTGCGAGGGGCCCGGAGGAAGGACCAAGAGTCCTCCTCTGCCTCACTGATGACGTACGACTCACTAAGAACTGAAGCGAGACTCGCGGTCAGCTGTCCACGGTGGGACGACGCACAGTTCTCTTTGCTGCTGCTGCTCACCAGCATCCGTATGAGACTGTTCAACTCAAGCGCACAAGCCTTAGGAAACAAACTGTCAACCAGAGCTGGACAGGCTGTTATGATTAGGCTTTTTTTTTTTTTACTTTCTTGGGTTGTAACATCTCATACTCTGAGATTTTCAACCACAAATGTTCCCAGGAAGTTCACAGACTGAGGAACATGAATGTTATAAGATGGCTTAGAAGCAGAAAAACATTATGTTGCTTTAGAGGAAAGGGTTATGCCAAATTTGCCAGAACAACACAACACTGTGTTGGAACATGACTGAATCCTGTAGGATCTTACTGGATACCACTGCTGACATACAGAATGAGCACTTTTTTGTGAATTCATTATTGAACATCTAGAAGTTTGGCTGAATTTATGGCACAAACTGAACCATCAGTGCCTGCAGAGGAATGAATACATCATGTATTTGTTTTTTTGTTTTGTTTTTGTTTTTTCCAGATGAGGAGAGTAATTCAGATGTACCTTACTTTCCTACAACCCATGTTTACAAGATGAAATTGTCTTTTTTTTTTTTTGTTTTATCTTTTATAAAGATGTATTTTTTTGCCAGCCAAACGGCTGTGGATGCTTGAAGATATCTGAGAAGTTTGACGAAGCAAGCAGACCGAGACATTTTTTGCACTTATTTATATTTGTATAAACATGTCATTAATTTATAATAAAAAAGATATTTTTTTCTATAAAATGACAACTTGTTTTATGTTCTTTATTTGCCACAGTTAACCTGCTTTACGAATGATTATTTTTTTCCTTTTAAAGCCAAACTGCTCCACAGAGGTGCATCTGTACGACTGATTTACATCACTTTTAGTTGAAATTGCTGCCGAGGTCACACCACAAGTTCACTGTACTGAGCCCATCATTTCCCCTAAAATCACCCTATAAGCGCCATCTTTAACCCAGATGGGAAACCACAGTTCGAATTCAAGGCAGCTTGAAAGACACAACGAAGACATGTTCCTGTTTGTTATCACAGACAGGATTTAAAGAGCTTTGAAGTTTCTCTTTTRGTAAGAAAACGCTTCCCACAAGCTTGAACATGAGAAAAAAAAAGTTCTATTTTTAAGTTCAACAAGACGTGCTTCTCTTTCTGAGGAACCCTGCACTCAGACTAAATACATCAGAAATGCTAAGCAGTAACTGAGCTTTCTTGAGAAGTGCAAAGCGGGTTCTTTGTACTTGTGTGACTCGTTGGATTTTTCCTAGGTGTTGGTGTGACCTAAGCAGCTCGCATAAGAACGAGCGTCATGAGGTGGCAGTCTGTTTGTGCTGTGAACATGTTATGACTGTTCAAACGTTTCCCCCTACGGCCAGATAAACGTATGTTAACATATGTACCTCGGTTCTGAGGAMTCCTTCCTCAAAACGTGTTTACAGAGTCCACTTGTTCGGTTATGAAGCTGATCTGCTGCCAACATTCTGGAACAGGATTACGTGACCTTCTCTGCTCAGGTGAAGTCTTGGCTCTGAAAGGACGCTGTGAAGAACTGGAAGTGTCGTCTGCAGGTTATGAGTCAATTGTCATGTTTCCGTTAACACTTTGAATAAACTATATCTGGTTTTTCATGCTGTGAGAGGAGGTTATTTTAGAAACAATACATCCTCATTTCCAAATCAGTTTAAAAAAAAAAAGCTTCCTGGTGTTCATCTTTTTTTGTCCCTAATTGCACAACGCTGCTGTACCATTATTTCCAGTGAATTAGATGCCTCATAATGAAATTAAAATCATTCATTAATCAAATTGACAGCTTTTATGCATCTGCTTCCCTTTAGATATACATGAGCATATAAAGGTAACAGGATTTCAGTGCAAAAACTGCCCTCTAATCAAGCCTTACAGTCTTATACTGAGCCTTGTTTTGAGACTGATAAACTAAGAAAGAGCAGAATGGGTTAAATTATTAATTATATTAGCTGGGAATTTTTTCAAATTTTTTGAAAACTCTTTCCAAATGCAATCGTCTTTCTGCACCGGCAGATTATTTCATTTAATTTGAGAATATTCTCACCATTATCTAGTATTTTTAACTTAATTTAAAACGGCTAATTTTTCCAGTGTTCTGCTTGGAGTGCTAACAATTTATTATCTCATCTTCTGTGTTTTTTATTGTTAGCAAAAGCAAGTAGATGTTTAATAAAAATTAAATTTCAGCTATGTCCCGTTGTGTCTACTGCACAGCACTTTGGTTGGCCCTGGGCTGTTTAAAGTGCTTTATAAATAAAAGTGGTATGTAAGGTATGGCGAGGTATGTGTGCGTAAATGACTCTCAACTACTACCACATACAATTTTACRTAAWTATCCGTGGAAGTGGCTGATGTATAGTCATTGTTGTGTTTCTAARGTTGGCTGTAGCAGCCATAGCTGTACACATATGTTTTCAAATGTATCCTTTTATCCACATTTTAGTTGGGGTGGGGGGGTGACCTAACCACCTGCCTCAGACAACAGTAAAGTCATACAAAATAAATCTCAGTCCGATTTGGTCTTTCACAATTGCTTTTGTGTTGTGACACATTCTGTTTGTGTTTGCACCTCAGTGAAGTCTCCCCACCTCTGCAGCATGCGTAGACATCAACAATACAAGAGACTGCATGCAGCAACATATTAACATTTAATGTGCTGAGAACAGAAATGTGCACCTGATCCAACATCAGTGAGAAGGAGCTGCCACTTCTCACGACTCCTCCTAAGTTTTCTCATAAACCAGGGTCAAATGGGTCAAGCCATTTGGGTCTGGGGACCCCTTACAAGGACCCCCTCATAAACCCCATGCTGTTTTAAAAGATAATTTATTGTCATTTCAACCCCTAAATGCCATAGGAATATATGTTTTTATTTAGTTTATTATGTTTGTTTTATTAGTTCATTGTTCTCCATGCATTTTTAAGAATAAAAACCAAATTAACATTTTAGTAAAAATTTTTGAGGACCCCCAAGCGGACCCCTGTTTAAGAACCTCTGTCTTAAACAAGCTGATGGGAGAAGATTCTCTAAGTTGAGTCTTGCCTTCTGAAATACTTTTTTTTCTCTATAAAGTGAAATGTAAACTATAAAAGTTGTAGTTAAAATATTTACACTTGCTCTCGGTTTATTATCGTTCCAACAATTAATTGGAGCAGATTTTTTTAAATGATCCTTCGGATTTTGAATCGTATTTTTGCCTCGGTTCAAATATATGTGTAAGATGAGGGTTTGTTTGTGCAGCGCACCCTTAGATGAAATCAAATAAATGCAGGCTGCTGCAAGACTGCATCAGATTATTGTGAATTCCCAGTAAGTCTGAGCTACACAACAGAGAATGAAGTTTCTATGAGGAAGCAGAAAAAAAAAAAACATCTGGGAGGATTTTTTAAAGGTCATAATGTACATGCATTGTACATGATTGTTATTTGTCGATCTGTTTGCGAACAAAATTATTTGAGATCCTTCATTGTTAAAGTATCGCACACACTAGTTATAAAAATAAAGCTTTATAATGCGATATCCTTCTGATCTAATGTCGAATACCCTTTAAAGTGTGCTGACTTGGCGTGCTGAGGGAGAGAAATTCTCTGGTAACCTCTGGCTGAGTGATTCCAGAAAACGAGTTTTGAGGAATTGTGTCACGCTTTAAACAGGCCCTAAGTATGTCATGGTCACACCCCTCAGCCAATCGCATCTAAGGCTGCAATCTGAAACCATTACAGGATGTTCTGAAGTTTTTCTCTGGAAGTGGCCACAAGGCCTCTGCAGCCGCAGACAAAACTGCTGCACACTTCATGTGAAACATAGAACACATCAAATGAAATACGTCTCTTTTTTATTTTCCCCGAGAGCTTTATTCACAGGTGAATGCAATATAATCATAATAAAAAGAAACAGTTTAGCTTGAGCCAGAACATGCATTACACATTCAAGAGAAGCACCAGAACTAAGCAAACTTAGCAAACACTAAAATAGCAATGACTGTGTTGGTTTTACAGACACTGAGCTCAGTGTTGTATCATTTCCAACGTAACTGATCAAGCAAAATATGTTTTTTAAAGGGGAGTATTGTGCATTTTCCAGTCATGTTCAATTCTATACCACAATCACCTGACGATACTGTATTACCTTCAGTTGGTATGAAAATGCTGTTTAATGAAAAATATATTTGACTTTGCATCATAGCCTTATGTTATGGCAATATTTATTTAACAAAGACAGAAATACGTGGTCCAAGAATGAAGGTACTCCGTGAGATGATCAGCTGAGTTTTATTGCAACAACAGGAAACACAGACAACAACCTGGCCTGTCTCTGTGCCTCTGTTTCTCTCCATCACTGTCTCTCCACACTGCTGTTGAACCCTGTGTCTCGAGAGGCCTCATATACAGTATATATTAACAAACACCGTTC